TTTTTTTTTTTTTTTTGTTATTGTTTTACCCTGTGTAAACAAATTGACAAATAAAATCTAAGTAGAGTCACATTAATTACAAAACAAAACGCATTAAACGTCTCTGTGTTTTTATTTATACTTTTTTTTGGTATTTCTTTGGTTATACGTTAATGTTTGCGAAAGTGATAAAAAAAATATTTAAATAAAATAGAAATAACAAAGGAAAAATATTTCCACCATTAAAAACATTCCCTGCATTGGTTCGCTGTCGCCCCCTAGAGGATTACATTTTGAAACAGTTTGCTGTGTTCGGCGCGGTGTTTGCTAATAAAGTTTCACCGTTCACCTTTGACCCCAAGATGTCTGCCTACATGCCGCTCTCTGTGAAGATGTCACCGTCAGCCTTGGCGGGCATAAAGTTTGTTTTAACGGAGCATTGTTCTTCTAGAAAGTTCCTAAAATCTCTGAAAGAGCTGAGCGGGCGAGGTGAGACGCGCTGACTGCGCATTTTTCAAACTATTAGTCTTTATTTTAGCGGAACTCGTAGCTGTGGATGTGAATGAAGGAGCAGACGTACTGTTTTTGTCTCGCTGTGATGTGAGCCAGGTTATGCGGTGACAGCACGTCAGACGGCGGCGAGCACCGTGGAAGATGAGGGCGGTGTGAGCGGCGGTGGGTTCAGCGGACCTTTGGATCACTACAACGGGCTGATCCGAGCCGGGAGCCTGCGGGAAGACGAGCACCAGAGAGCGGTGCTTCAGACGCTGGACGAGCTGCGCAGGACGCTGAGAGGATACACTAACAGACCCACATCCATCTTCTCAAGGGTAAACATAAACACGTGTTTAAAAACAATCTCCATTTGTTTACTGGGTCATAACAGTTAGAAAATACGGCGATCCAAATGTGCCAAAAATGTCCCTACACTGTAAACCTACCTGTCTACCATATCAAATGTAATAGAGGGGCAGCTTTTATTTCAAGGGGGCACAGAAGAAAGCATGAAACAATATCAGTAGTGGTTTGATATATTAAGTCAACGTTGTTTAAACTTTTTGCTATGTAAGTGTTTATCACGGCAACAAAATTTGATAAAATTATTTAAAATTTAAATGGTTCAAACTAGAGCTGCAACTAATTATTACTCTAATCCTTTTCTGCATTGGCCCCCTGTTGGCCCCTGTCTAGAACCGCCCATTTTCCTTCAGTTGTAGTGGTTCTGATCACTGACCCTGTTATCATAGTGTCTCATGTCGTCTCCCTGCACCGTCTGGCTTGTTGCACGATATATTTGGAGTGAAATTTGGAAACTAGTGGGGGAATAAGTTTTTTAAATTACTGTAGAATATTTGAGTCACTAAAAACTAATGCTGCCCCAATCGTTGGATCTAACAATGCCCCGAGGCTCACATGGGTTAATATTTGTCTAAAGTCTAGGTTTAAACTGAGATTAAGGTAAGTGCTTTTATTTGACAACAGTTGTTGATCAAACGGCAGTAAATTACCTGATTGATCCAACTCTGGTGATGTTTAAGAATCAATACCTGTTGACTGATTGGGAATGTTTTCTAACTGTGGAACAAATAAAACTCCCACTTCATGTGCTGCCAAGACCTCTACTAGGGATGCACGATATTGGGATTTTGGCCGATATC